TTTCGCCACTGTCACCCCTGGTCCTGAGAGGTTCATCTGTCCTAGATTCCCTGCAGGCAATGTTCTTCTTGACAATGAATGTAATGCCATTCCTCTTGATTTGTGTCATTCCCATCCTAGTCAGCCATATGATTTTCTGATTAAAAATGACCAATACCAGTCCATTTCAGCTCATTAACATCTAGGATATTGATTTTTATGCGTTCCATTTCATTTTTAACGACTTCCAATTTTCCTAGATTTAGACTTCGTAAATGTCAATTTCTGATGATTGGTAGATTTTTGCAGCTGTTTCTTCGCACCCTGAGTTGTGCTCCACCAAAGGCTCTGTTCCCATAGGACTTACTCCATCATGATGGTCTATTGTACTTGGAGAAAGCAGCTTCACAGCCGTGTTTCAAGTGCTTTCTGACCAAAAGAAATCAATCTCTGGCATGCTCGCTGACAGCTTTCTGCTCCTTTTCACGAGCCCTTCAGTATCTGACAATGCTGCCGTGCGGTGCCTAAGTTTCCCAGGAGCTACTTCCTCTGAAGTGGGCTGCAGATTCCTTCTTCGTCGTCTGCTCTGATTCTGGAAGCCCCGCTGAAACCTGTTCATTTTGGGTGACCCTGTTGGCCTTTGAAACACCAGCGACACAGCTTCTGGCATCATTGCAACACCACAGCATGACACACTGACAGACCAATGGTGGACTGTCATCCATAGGCCTCTGCAAATCAGGTGCTCAGAAATTAAGCTCTGATACCATTTGTTCCTCTGATCTTATTCCCACGTCATCCCTCGGCTGTTGGCATCCTTGCCTCTTCCTGGAAGCCTTGAGTACCATGGGAGGAGTATTTATGGCTTCAGGGCTTCTCCAAAATGGCTTGGGTTATCTTGGTGAAGACCCTGGTAACTTACCAAATCTCTCTAGCCAAGAGGGAGACAGAATTCTTCCAGATGCATCTGTGATGTGAAGGGTAGACGGAGCATTACAAAAAGCAAAGGCCTTTGGGGGTCGGTGAATGGAGGCTGGTGACCCACCCCCAAGAACCAGCCCCTCTTGACTGATGGACAAGGTGTACAAGGGCTCCTCTGGGTGCAGATTCTGTGCTTGCAGAGACTGACCGATCTGGACAAGAGATTCCGAAGAGATGCATGAGAAGAGTGCTAAAAACTGTAAGTGGCTATTTTAGGTCTCAGGTGCCAGAACACATCAGGATTGAAGGGCTAGCTCAAGTAGCCTGCAGAGTGCTGATGGACGAAGCCTGCCCTTGTCCTGCCCTTCCTGAGGGCCGGAGGGAGGCGGGGGAGGGTGGAAACTCAGTCAAATGAGCGAGATGAGAGGCAGTAGAGCACAGGTTAACAGGTGCCTGATATGTTGTTACACACCACAAAGCAAACATCCGGCATAAATTGGTTTTGCGGGGTGTGGTGGAGTGTTCATGGTGCAAATGGTTAAGCGCTTGGCTACTAATGGAAATGGCAGTTCAAATCCCCCCAGCAGCTCCAGCAGATTGTCACCGCCACACAGCAGAGGAAAACCTATGTGGCGCTGTGCTCTCCAAAACCACACCACACCAGACCCCAGACCCAACTCACTGCCTTCGAGTCTATGCTGACTCACAGCTACTCTTTAGCACAGGGTAGAACTGCCGCTGTGAGTTTCACGTAACCACTATGCCACTATCACCCTGCGTTGGAACCAACTGACTGCGCCCAACAGCAGGAGAATATTCAAAGGTTCCTTATTTTGGAAACTAGAAGATGACCTTGTAGTTTTAGCAGTTCAGAACCACCAGCCGCTCCACAGAGGGATAGACTAGGGCAGTGGTTCTCAACCTGTGGGCCCAGACCTCTTTGGCGGTTGAACCACCCTTTCAAAGGGGTTGCCTGAGACTATGGGAAAACATGTACTTCTGATGGCCTTAGGTACAGAGACATCGCATCTGTCTCCAGGTGGCTCTGCCCACATGCAGATACGCCCACATATGAGTACCCCATGTGAAGACCGTTTCCCATGCTGCACCATGCTTTAAGAGAACATTTCATTTATTCGTCATTAGAAATAAATAATTTACAATATATAATTCACATGCTATTTTTGTGATTAATCGCTATGCTTTAATTATATTGAATTTGTAACAATGAAAATACATCCTGCATATCAGATATTTACATGACAATTCATAACACAAGCAACATTACAGTTATGAAGTAGCAACGAAAATAATTTTATGGTTGGGGTCACCACAACACGAAACTGTGTGAAAGGGTGGCGGCCTGAGGAAGGTGGAGAACCACTGGACCAGGGCTCTCTAGTCCCCTGAAATAAATGTCTCGGAAACTCACAGGGACAGTTCTATCCTGTCCTATAGGGTCGCTGTGAGTCGAATCCACTCCGTGGCGGTGAATTTGGTTGGGTTTGAGTCGGATCACGTGAAGATCTATCACTTTAGAAGTTGAGCAAAGCGTCACGTTCTTCAGCACACTGACGTTCCCCGCTCCGGTAAGGGGCTGCGAGGCCGACCCTCTGCGCATGCGCGAGGCCTCGGGGGCGGGGCTAAGGCTCGCAGGGCGTTGTGGGAAACCGGGAGGCGGGGCAGGCGTGAGTAGCGGCTCGGCCGACGCGGCGGCGGTGTGGTTGGTGACGGCCGGGTGAGGTGTGCGGCGTTGCTGGGGGAGCCACGGAGGCCCGTGGGGCTGCTTGGCGGGAGGAAGGGGCGCCGCCGTGGCGCCGGGGCGAGGTGGGAGGGGCCCGGCGGGCGGCGCTGTGGGCGGCGCTGCGGTGTCCAGGGCAGCGGCGCCTGGGGAGCGCGTTCCCGGGAGGGGTCCGCTCGGCGCGGCCCAGGCCCGGCCGTGTGCTCCGCTGTGAAGTGGGCAGCTTGCGGTGGTCGGGACAGCGTGTCGGCCGGGCCCGGAGGACCTCGGTGGGGCCCGATCCCCTTTTGACTGCGGAGTCCGCGGCTCGCCCGGATCTTGGTAGGAAACTGACATCCCCAGGTGCTCGCCGTTTCTAACACCTTACCTGGACCCGGCCTCGGCCCCCGGCCCCAGAGCCGGCTCCGCCCCACCTGCGGGAAAGGTGACGCGAAGTGGGGCACGCCCTCGACCTGGAGCAGCTCAGTGTTTTGCTGCGTTTGTTTTTAAATATGCAAACATGATCGGAACCATCTCGAACTGCAGCGCATCGCAAACGTAGATACTTCCAGAAAGAAGCTTAAACCGCTTAGTTGTCGCACCCCGAGATCTGAGATTTGCCTCTGCGTTCCATGTCCCCTCCTTCCCGGTTTCTTAACTCTGTGAGGTCTTTGTAACTGTCTCACACGAACCCCTTCTCTCCCCCAGCACCGGCTTAGCGTCGTCTTTCCCTCATCTTCTTGGAAACTCTGCCCCATTTTTTTTTTTTTTTTTTACATCTTCCAAGCTGCTCACTGCTTAGCTCATTTAATTTCCACTTTCTTGTGTTCTGCCCATTAAAACGTTCAATAATCTTTCTATGGCTGCAGTGCGCGTTTCTTTGTATAGCCTCTGGTGTTTGACACTGCTCCCCTTGAATTGGCTGGGACCATATCCCCTAGTCTGTCCTTCCAGCTCCGTAGTTGGGCCTACTTTTTCTGTTGCCCGCTCTTTCTCTGTTCCCTCAGTATTAATGTCCTCCATCTCCCTTCCCCAATGCACACTGATGAGCAGCTCCAAATTCACTAGGCTGGGGGCACCCCGTTTTTGTATTGCCAGCCCTATATAATTAACTCCCCATAAACAAGCAAACACCAAACCTGTGGTGGTCTAGGAAATTCCTACTCAGGACAACCCGCGGTTGTAAGTCTTTATGGAAAGAGACTGCTACATCTTTCTCCCTAGAAGGGGCCGGTAGGTTTGAACTGTTGACCCTTTGGTTAGAAGCCAGTTACTTTAACCACTATACCACCAGGCTCCTTATTGTCCCAAACCTGCTCATTCAACATGTACCAAACAGAAATAATAAAGCCTTCCATGTGCCCTCCAACCCGAACATGCTTTTCCTTTTAAACTTGTATTTCCTGACTCAAAATGCCATTGCTAATCTTCCTAAGTTCTCAAGACTCTAAGACAGCGTCTTTATCTGCTCTCCAACTCCTCAGTATACTGTCTTCAAGTCCTTTTTGTTTGTTTGTTTGTTTTTTAGTAACTCTTTATTAGGTAAAATAAGTGATTTCTTTTTTGTTGTTATTAATCATTTTATTGGGAGCTCTTAAAGATATTATAACAAGCCATAATTCAATTAGATCAAGCATTATTGTACAATCACTGCCACCATCAATTTCAAAATATTTTCTTCTGAACTCTTTGATTATCAGCTCTTGTTTATTCCCTTGCTACCCCCAGGAACCCTTATTATTATATGTTATTTATTTTTTTGGCCCTATCTTACACCACCCAATGTGTCCGTTCACCTACAATTCTGTTGTTTGTTCCCCTCAAGTGCACGTCCTTTTTGTGTGTCTTAATGCTTTCTGCAGATAGGCCAGACTTCATGCCTTGGCATTCCAACCTCTGTTCCATATCCATGCCTTTTAGTTTTATTTCCCATCATTCTCCTTCACAGGACCCATCTCACACTGCCTGCCCACTTCTCCCTGTCAGTTACCTGGCTTGCATCTTTTGAAATTTAACTAAATTCCCTTTTTGAGGTTCATTCTTTGAATGCAACAGCCATCTGACTTATCCTTTGTGGTCAGTTACATTCCATCTGTACATGCGGTACTTCTGTGTACAGTCAGTGGTAATTTGTGTGTGTGTGTGTGTGTGTCCCTGCAACAGGAAACATTTATGGTAGTCACAGTTGAAGGTCTGTACTGGCATCTAGTGGGTAGAGGTCAGGGATATTGCTAACTGTCCTACAATATACAGGATGGCTTCCTAAAACAAAGAATTAGCCAATACAAACTCTCAGTTGCACTGAGGTTGGAGGCCTGCTTAGTCTCCTATTGGCTACTCAGTATTTTGATTATTTCCAGACGGATCTTGTCTTATTTGTTTTTGCATCCCTAACTCTTGACACAGGTCTATGACATAGTGCAAGCTCAATAAAAGTTGAAAAAAGGTGGAGTAAGAGGTCATTACCCAAACTCATTAACGTACTGCCATTGAGTTGATTGCAGTACGTCAGGCCCCACAGGGCAGAGCAGAGCTGCTCTCGGGCTTCTGAGGGGGTGAATCTTTCTGGGACCAGAGTGCTTCATCTTTTTCCTGCTGTGGCTGGTGGGTTCAAACTGCTGATCCTATGGCTGGAGCACAATGTGTAACCAATTACATACCCTGCCAGGACTCCTTAAAGAGGTAACTAGAGTATTCTTACTGGCTGATCAGCCAGACTGCTACTCTGCCTGCTTGCTGGTTTCAGTGATTGTCTCCCCAGTGCTTTTCGCTCGGGATGGATGCCCACACCTTCTGGATGCCTTATCAGTCAAAAGTTTACTGACTCATCTAAAAAATGACAATGCTGACATTTTTTTTCTTCAGCCTAACATTAGACTTTTTGCTATCCATATATCTTGGCCATTTATCAGGTGCTGAAGTTATTTAAGCTAGGTTAACTGGAAGAGTAAATGAGGTTCTTTGACTTATTTCTTATTAAAGGCTGATTGTTGAATTGTTCAAAACTCCGCGGTCCATAATGACGTCAACAAGTAAAGCAATTGAATTACAACTGCAAGTGAAGCAAAATGCAGAAGAACTACAGGACTTTATGAAGGATTTGGAAAACTGGGAAAAAGACATTAAACAAAAGGATATGGAACTAAGAAAGCAGAATGGTGTTCTTGAAGCGGTAAATTAATTTCCAATTTCACATTTAGCAAAGCTATTTCTTTTCAAATGAAGCATCATCTCAAAATGTTTTGTGAAAAGAGAAATTGAGTGGTTTGTTTTATTGCAAACGTGTTTTTATAAAATTCTTTTTAAAAAAAACTGTAGTAATGGTATTACTTATAAGACATTGTAAGGCTTTATGGATAGTTACTGAAAGGAATACAGTGTAGCATCACTTAAAGGGACATGAGTACCATTATAAAATATGGAGGCATCTGTAGTATATGAGGGACCTTCAAAAAGTTATGAGAAATGGAATTGACCCATTTGTATGTTAACATACACTACCTAAAGCCATTGTCATGCCACTGAGTAGATTGCGACTCACAGCTGCTGTGTAGAACAGGTTAGAGCTGGCTGTGATGTTTCTTTAGAGGAGCCACGTCTCTAGTCAAATAGCTGGTAGGTTTGAACCATTGACCTTTTGGCTAGCAGTCCAGTGTTTAACCACTTCTCCCACCAGGACGCCTTTAACATGAAACTGCAGATAATACCTAGGCTCAACCAAATGTCTATTAAGATAGTTCATTTAAATATGGATAGACTTCACATAGTAAACATAATGATGTGGAGGCAAATTTTGTTAAGTGCAAGCAGGATGTTGTTTATATAATTCTTACAGATGCTGAGGTTTGCCTTTGTTCTACTATTTATGCTAAAGCCGAAGATTGTTAGTACCTGACTTTTAACTGAAGGGTTGTGTGGTAGTTACATAATCTGGTGTCAACGCAGGTTGCAAATTAAATTTGTAATTAGAATTTCTAGAGAATACATTTCTTGAGACTGACCAGGATTCACCATTCATCAAAAGATGAATTGAACTTTTCAAGCATAAATTAGCAGTTTTAGTGAGGATTATATTTGTAAGTGTTTGAAAATTAATTTTAAAAAATCAGTTAATTCTTGCTTGGAAATAGTTTCGTGAGAACTATAAACATTACTAGTTATATGAAAACACAATAACACTCAGAACCGCGTGTGGTGTGTGTGTGTGTGTGTGTGTGTGTGTGTGTGTTTCCCTTCTACCTGCTCCAGAAGTTGCCTCCTATTCGAAATGGGAATTTTAGAAAAAAGAAGAAAAGCAAAGCCAAAGAGTCTTCTAAAAAAACCAAAGAGGAAAACACCAAAAACAGGATAAAATCATATGATTACGAAGGGTGGGCAAAACTTGATGTGGTAAGTTAATCACCTTCTTCTTAATATGTCAATAACATTTTCTTGCAGTTAGCCAGCAGTTATAGGTTAAATGACAGACAATAGAGATTTCGTCTGACTTGGTTTCTTCTTCGTAGACTATTTCTTGTGGAATAAAGGTGTCATTAGCAACTCCAGGATGATTTTCTCCTTCGTTTCTGTTAATGGCGGCTAAAATAGGCAGGATTCCTCAGCGTACTCTTCGCCCACTGCCTCCCAATGGTTACATTTCACATAGATTCCCCACATTTACTTGGCCTGCCACCACCTTTTCAGGAGAATGATAACTCAGTCCCCCTTGGCTGTTTAAAACTTTGTACTCTAGCCTATGTCCCCGGAGGGCAGCAGCGCCCATTTTGGGAAACACTGCTGCAGTATAATGTCAAAACAAAGAAGTTGAAGGTGGGTCCATGTGTCCATTTCCCTGTGCGATTTCCTCCACAATCGCACCCACCCCTTATCTTTCCCACATCCCTAATTCATGAACAGCCAAGACTCTTAAGATCCAGAATGGTTCTGCCAGGACCTTTTTTGGTAGCCGGAAGGACCGACTAGAAGAGAGTGTCTTGGAGTTTGGTTTTCGGGCAGCAGCTGTGTGACAGTAAGAGTGGGATCTGTCTTGATCCCACAAAGATGGCCTTTGTGTCTGTGTACTCACTGAAGTTTTGTCTGTAGGGCTTGAAAATTCACCAAAAAACAAACAATGTAAGTCCTTGGTTCTGTAATTCACATGATCAAAATCTATCTATTTTGTGCTTTGTAAATCGAATCCACTGCTTCTGTCTGCACTGGCAGTGTATTCCTAAGCAGGTTCCCACCCTGTTGTACCTTCCGGCTCCCTTACTGATAGACACATAGTGTACAAGTAAAGTGTGTACTTAACGAACTGGTCTGTCTCTTCATGTTAGAACGTTGTCGCATTTCATTCTATGTCTTAATGTTCATTCGAAAGAACTTCATGGACTTCATCTTTTTTTGAACAATTTTTTCTCACAAATCTAATTTGAAATAGTATGTCATTTGTTAAAATGCAAACAGGCTGCTGTTTATAAGTGGTTTAAGATGTTAAGGGAGTTTTAATAAACTTTACTGCTTACTGAGTTTTAGAAAAAACCTTACTGAAATTATTCTCATCACATACGACTAAAGAAAACTGACATGATTGTGAGGTGGCCCCTGAGATGATTGATTGCCATGAGTGTGTGAAGACAGTAGTACTGTCAGACCTGGTCTCTGTTCCGGAGGGATAAGAACCAGGACCAGCCGGTGGCGGGTCTCTGTGAGGTGGAGGTCTGACATAGCTCTCCTCCCCAGCCTTCTTTCCCGTTCTGACACCAGCTGTCCCTCCCACGGCTCTCTCGGCTTCTCTGCTGGAATGGGCAATTATTACAATGGCCACACAGAACTCTCATATTTACATTTTAAAATTCCCAGACCCACTGCATTGTGCCTCCCCACTCGCTTACTGATAGACACAAAATCTATTTACCATGTTTACAATTAAGTGGCTTATTAAGGAAATAACAGGGTATAACTCTGGAGCAGGGTCAGCAAATTACAACTCAGGATCAGGAAGCAGGCCAGCGAAGTTGGAGTGCTCCCCTGAAGCGGGGAGCACACCCCTCTGTTCTTCCCTGCAGGCAGCTCTCTCTTTTCCTCTGAGTTCTGCACACAAGTCGGCCTTGCTCCAAGTGTATGCCGTCTTCGTTGTGCAGGCCTTCTCTCAGCCCCTGTAGGACAGGCTTTGGGGCTCTTCATAGCCCTTCTTAGCATCCCTCAGGACAGGCCTCTGACTTTGGCCTCCCTGCCATTGGCTTCTCCACGACTGATGAGCCAGCTAGCCAGCACATCAGTGTTCCTTCTCTTAGCTGCATACCCAGAACTGGGTGTCTGCCGTTACCACCTACTGCCACGGGGCCCCAGCCAGGCCTGCCATTGCTGACCAACACTGGCCCCCTACCCCCACCTCCTGCACAGCCTCCTGACCACATCTCTATCTGCTTCTCTTTGCCTCTCTTCTCCTTTCGGCGTCTCCTTTTCTGTTTCTCCTCTTTCTGTCTGTCTACCTCTGGGGGGTTGGCTGCATATAAGAATTCTGGCATTTAGTTTTGTTTAAGAGAAAAATAGGTGATTATGCCTGATTTATACCCAAACTCAGCTATTATTGAGTTGATTCTGACTCATTGTGACCCTGTAGGACCGAGGAGAAATGTGCCTGTGGGCTTCAGACTGTAACTCTCTTCAGGAGTGAAAGCCTCATCTTCTCCCGTGGAGGCACGATAGTTTTCATCTGCTGCCCAGTGTGTCCCCACTGTGCTAATTTAGGGTGGCTGTGAATATCAGGAGTTAATACTCTGTGAGCAGTTTTGGTGTCTTTAATGTAAAGAAGAGAAAAGCGTTTAGAGAACCCCTTTCTTTGCTGTTGGGCGTTAATTACATTGTGGTCAGCTACTGTGAAGTTGACGTGGGCACAGAGAAGGAAATTCGCCTACTCCTACTCATTGGCACAGAGAAGGAAATTCGCCTACTCCTACTCATTGGCTCGTATTTGGAAATAGACCTCCAGGCTGTTCTTCCTAGTGTGTTGGGAACCCACTAGTCTCGAGGGGCGCCACAGGGGCAGTTTTACCCCCGTTTACAGGGTTGCCGCGCGGCAGAAGCAACTCTTTGGCAGTGATTTGTAGGTCCTTAGGCCGTCACAAGCTCCTTTGAGTGTACATTTTCCTTTTGAATGTGCTTTGAAATCACGCATGCTCTACTCTTGATTCCAGGACAGTATTCTTGATGAGCTTGACAAGGAAGACAGGACCCACGATTCTGTGTCTCAAGAATCAGAATCGGAAGAGGATGGGATTCCTGTTGATTCACAGAAGGCTCTTGCTCTAAAAGAAAAGGTATTCTCTCTCTCATAAGCGCCTTCTGATAAGCAGGATACATAGAAAGCCCCGTCGATCCTGACCTTTCACGAGCATGGCATTGAGTGTTCAGAGTCCACGTTGCTATTTGTGTATCCTTGTGAGGAGGAAGTGTTGCCTAATGGTTCCACGTGTCCCGGAACCAAAGATGCTGTGCCTTTGAGCAAGTGCCCCAGTTGTCTCAGCTGTAGAGTGAGGTTAATAATGAGACTGTCATGTGCGAAGTGCTTAGACTGTACCAGGCACAGTACTAGGTAGAATGAAGTAACTGGACGGGCCTGTTTTCCACGTCGTATCTCCATCCAGTTCCCTGGTTGCCTTCTGTAATATTCGGAGCTCCCCGAGGAGTGCCCCCATTATCAAGTCAGCACTCTTGCTTTACAAACAGTGAAAACTCTTTCATCCTAAACTTCTCTTCGTGCCTTTAGGTGGTTGCATCTGTGTGGGTTAATGCTGTCCATAAAGAGTATACTAGGTGTTTCCCCCTTTTCGTCTTCCTGTCAGAGCGTCCGCTCGTGGCTGCATGGTAAACCTCAGCGCTTGGAAAAGACGCTGGCTGAGTTTTCTTTCCTTTCCGGTTATCCCCGATGACACGATAGTGAGCTAGGAGAGGATAATATTGAAAGAAAACGACAGGCATTCAGTGCCAGTATCTGGCTGACACACCTGCTTTTTCAGGGCAATAAGTTCTTCAAGCAAGGGAAGTATGATGAAGCAATCGAATGCTACACCAAAGGCATGAATGCTGATCCGTACAATCCTGTGCTGCCAACCAACAGAGCCTCAGCGTACTTCAGATTGAAAAAGTAAGGTATTTCCATGATGTGTGTGGAGGTTCTGTGGACACGGAGACTGGGTTAAAAAGAAAAAGGGAAGTTTTTTATGGTGAGCTGGGTGGGAAACATGAAAAATATGTTACTTTTTCTTTTCATGTGTCGCTTAACTCCCTCCTGCCCTGAGCTGTTCTTGGACGGCTCACTGCACTGAGCCACTGCTCTTCTGAAAACCTCGTGGCGGTGCTCTATTAAGTCACAAGTGAGGAGACAACAGAAGGGTAAACACTTCTAGGAACGAGAATCCTACGTTAATTTGGTAAACCCCTTATCCACTGCAAATCTAGAGAACTTTCATTGTGGTCTATGTAAAGTATGTTCCACTATTGGTGTTTTGTTTTTTTTAAGCCACACTGACCCTCCAGATCAGTGGTTCTCAACCTGTGGGTCACGACCCCTTTGGGGGTCAAACGACCCTTTCACAGGGGTCTCCCAATCCATAACAGTAGCAAAATTACAGTTATGAAGTAGCAATGAAAATAATTTGATGGTTGGTGGGGGCACCACAACATGAGAAACTGTGTTAAAGGGTCGCAGCATTAGGATGGTTGAGAACCACTGCTTTAAATACATTGAATGCATTAGTAATAATGTCCTGTGGTTCATCACTTGAGACAAATGTACCTCAGTAATGTAAGACAGTGAGAGGAGAGACTTTTCG